CGTCCTTTTCCCGGTCCCAAGCCTGGGACATGTCACAGAGAGCCGTCTCCAGGGCAGTCCTAAAATGCTCGTTCCAATCGTGAATGAGGTAACGAGCTACCAAATACATACATGCATACATACATACATACATAATACATACATACTTATATATGTATATATCATATACATATATGTATCATATACATATACATATACATATACATATACATATACATATACATATACATATACATATACATATATATATATATAGTCAGCTTTAAAGTCACAGTGAAACTCCGAGGGAGGAAAAAGACACATTCTTGCTACCGTGTGCGCACAGCCTTCCTCAGTAGAAAAGGATAAGATACCATTATCACCTGGAGTCCACAGACGGCCTTGGGGTTCATTTTCGGGGGGTTCTAGTTCATACCGAGTAGGTCCACCGCCCTGAAAACCCCGTGTAGGACTTTACCTGCCTCTGCCCTTTTGCCCCCTTCTTGGTAGTAAAAGATTTACGAATCCAGCTGACTCTTCAGACACATCCCTGTGCCTTCCAGAGAAAGGGGTTTTAGAAATAGGAAGTGAGGCGGGCAGAGGAAGATACCAGACAAGGTAGGATTTTCGTGGCAATACTCAGGTGGTACTAAGATGTGATAACGGTAAGGAGTCACTTTCTGTGGGACATCGTAACACCCGGTGGCTAGCCACGAGTGACCTACTGCGCGTGTGCATCTTTTTCTCTCTCAGATGGCACAGAGGGCACCAGGCTTTTACTTTTAGGCCACCAACCAGCCCCCACATCATGACACGATGACTTACTATCTGTTAGGAATGCTCAGCCTAACTTAGGCTCATTTATGGCTAGCTCTTTGAACTTAGCATGTCTCTTTTCATCTCCCTTCTGCCTTGGGGCTTTTTATTTTCCTTTCCTTCTGTATATCTTTCTTTCACAGAGTCCTCCAGTGTCTGGCTGCTAGGGGCTGCCTGGCCCCAGGTGTGTCCCTCTCTTTCTCCCTAGTTCTCTTCTCTCCTCCTTTTCTCTTTGGAGACTCCATTTCTCCTCCTGTTTATTCTCTCTGGCTGCCACCCCCACCTAGCTTTCTCTGCCTAGCTATGGGCCGTTCAACTCTTTATTAAACCAATCAGATGCCTTAGGCAGGCAAGGAGAAATAAACGCAACACATCTTTACATAATTAAACACATGACTTAGATCATTAAACAAATGCAGCATAAACAAATATAACACATCTTTTGCCTGATTAAAATGATATTCCACAATAACAGCACATTTCTCTAACAAGAAGAGTATGGCAGACCAGCAAAACATCTGCTTATTATGATCTGACCCAACTATCTTTTATAAGAAAACCAAACCCTTTCTTCATAAATTATCTTACTCCGGAGATCCCCTGAGGGGTACAGGGAGGGAAATCTGGAAACCTCGCTTTACTTTCATGTATGTCCAGAGGAGAATCTGGACAACTGGTTCAACTATTGAGACGCAACAAAGTTCCATAATCTTTAGTCATTAAATAAAAACTTTAAGTCTTCCTGATATTTTTATTTTTCAAATCATTCGTCTGATCCCTATTTGGGCCATCTTGAAATATCTAATATCAGCATTGCCAGTCCAGCAATAATAGAAAGAGATGGTATTGCCATACCTAATTTCCTTTAAACTTGCTCTCATGTGTTCCAATGCAGTATGTTTTAGATTCTAAGATAATAAGCATGCCATTTCATTGATATTTTTAATGTAAGTGCTAACTTCCCCTTACAGTATTACCCTGAATAGAATTACCTCTAATGACACCTAATGTTAGCAAAGAAAAATTAGATTCCTATATAACTTGTTATCTATAAAGATGATTTAGAAATTAATTTTTATTTTCATTGGCCACTTAGGTTCAACTGTTCATAATTTTATTACTTCTAAGAAAAAGAAGTCATTGAAAAATCAGAGATCTAACTCAAAGTAGACAACTTGAATCCTGTTTATATATTAATTGTTATTTCATTTTACCCCCCCCCAAGTTCTCTGAATATGTTTCTACTTTCACAGAGCAGATGACACAACATGGTTTTCAGTGAGGCAGTATAAGAGAACAATGAAACAAAGCAACAGCATATAGCAACTAAAATCTCCTGAATCTCGCCTGTGTTGTGTTATTTTAGCCTTCACACAACTCTTTGGTGTAAGTCAGCATGACTGTAGTCACCACTTAACAGAAAGAGAAACTAGGGGACAGAGAGAGTAAGCAACTTTACCAGTGCTAAAGTCACCAAGAAGTAGTGATAGGCATCAGAACCTCCACAATGTTAGGCACTGTGCTAAATATTGCACCCTAGAAAAAAGAACAAGTCCTTGTCTCTTTTCCCCTTCCTGGCCATCTCTACAGTGGCACTTGTGCCAAAGACAGGAAATAATACATCATAACTAGCCAACCTGGATTCCTTCAGGAAATAATACATCATAAATAGCCAACCTGGATTCCTTCCGTCCTACCTTTTTCTTTTCTTTCTTTCTTTCTTTCTTTTTTTTTTTTTTTTTGATGCAAACTGCATGAGGCTTTATTAAGGTTGTTTAACTATCTAACCCCATGTTAGCTCGGGCCTTTCATCCACCCGCCATGACGGATGGCTAGAAAGACAGCTCAAAGCATCTGCATAGAGATTTTATAGGGTAGCACAAGGGGAGTGTCTAGGGGTACGCACCCGTCCTACCTTTTTCATCCACATGAAATCGTGATGCTTTCTCGTCATTTGCAGAAGAGACATTCGAATCACTTTTTTCCCATGTCGAATAACCTATAACCACAACAAAACAAGATGTTCACATGACGCCTGGGAGCCACTCCTTGGAAATGAAACAGAAACCCTCTTAAGAGAACTGAAACAAGAAATGACAATATTCTCTAGAGGTCTTAAACAACGTCTGGTAATATTTTCAACACTTGACCTTTTAACGATGATTCCACTTACCAAAATAAATAAATAAATAAACCGCTGGTGATTCCCTACCCTAAGCTACCACAAGTAGAACTGTAGAATTTTACTGTAGTTGACTAACACTTCCTGCTAACCCAATCAGATTCCATCTCTAAGTGCATCACCCAAATGTTTGCAAGTGCTGCACTGCCATCCTGGGTGGACATGTGCCCCAGATTCTCTTTCAGGCAGGTTCAGTCTGCTCAGCTGAAAGGAATGTGGGCCACCAGCATCTTCCAGTTGTTGACTTTGAAGCTTTAATTCTGAAGTGATACTCTTTGCTGACGAGGCGGTTGGACCATGACTAAGCTGTTCTTTTGTAGCACCAGACCTCTTGAAACCAAACTTGCCAAAATGTTGAGCAGGTACTTTACCACATCTGCATCTTATTATGGCTGCTCTCCCTGCCTCACCCCTTTTTCCTTTCAGACTTGTTACTCCCCAGTGAATCTCTCCCACTCTTAATGTCAGCATCTGCTTTCTGGAAAGCCCAACCTAGGCAAGTACCAAGAGGTAAAATGATAGAATAGTATCGATACTATCAAAATAGTGTTGAAATAGCTACAGCTATCATTTTGTGTGGCTAGTTTTCCATGTAGAACTTCTGCATTAGCATTTTCTCATAAATATGCTGTGTCTTTAACCTTCACATTAAGAACAGCTTTGATGCCATTCTATAGAACAATAGCATGAGGTCATAGCTGATTCTTTGTTTGGGACTTACTTTTCACTGGGAACTACTTCCACCTTCCCGGAGGCAGAGCCACTCCCTCTAGGAGTAAACTGGTCTCCTTCACCATCACCCTCCTAAGCAGGTCTGTTGAGCTGTATAGATGCTGAATTCTTCATTAAATTCCCATAACTTTAAGAGCAGTAGAGATGCTGTCGCCCACAGAGAGCCACAGGTCTAAATCACAAGTTGGCAAGGGATCCAACTCCTAGAGGTTTTTAATTTTGTGTGACTCCTTCCACACTGTATAACCTGTAAACATATGTTATCCTCAAAGTAGCCTCTGGCTTTTGGTGGTTAGTAAGATCCAGATCTTGACAATTGAAGGAATATATATGACTTTGTACATTTATCTACAGAATGGCTGAAAAGACGTAAATTACTTTCTCCTGGAGACTTCTATCTATATCTAACTGAAATCCATTGTTATTTTCTGAACTTTAATATATTCTAAAATATATTTCAGATCATGCAGACATCTCCTTTAGCAAATGAGAACAAGCACATTTATCAATCTGAAATTTTTCAACATTACTCTACATATTTGTCCTTAAAGTAGTTTTAGGCTTGAACTCAATTTAGCATCATATCATGTTCCATATTTAGCTGGTTATGAGGTTCCTGTCATCTGTTCAGCTCCATAATTTTAGAGAGAAAATGTAAAGTTAGCAATTTGACAATGTGGCACATGCTTTTTTGCTCTCTCCTTATTTCCAGTATAAAGGAAAAATCTAAAGTGAAGCTATCTTCCATCCATCAGAATTCAACTACAGAAACAGAAGGAAATATATGCTATGAATGTATTGGCGAGGGCTGGAGAGATGGCTCAGCCATTAAAGGTTAGGCTTACAACCCAAAAGATGTATTTTTTGTTTTGGCATTTTCTTTTTTAGTGTTTGTTTTTTAGCTTTGTCTGTTTTGAGGTGGCTATATGTGGTTTTTGTTTGGCATAGATTGGTGCATGTAACTGTGGGTGCTGGCTAGACAGCTCAGGATCTAAAGCTCTGCCTCTCTGGCGGGAGCTAAAGGTTCTATGTTAGGCAGAAAAAAAAAATCTTCTTAGGGAAGCCCAGCTTTCAAATACACTTAAGTGATCATATCAGGTCCATTCAGATTTTAGAGGATAAACTCCACTTCCAGTCAACTGGATATGAACTTTAGTCATACTTAAAAGTGCTGTCACAGCCATGCTACTTTTGACTGATGAATCAGACTACACCCTAGCCATATTGATGTGCTGAACTGGCATCACAGGCTTATTTCAACATACGCTAAAATGGTTTCTGTAGAATAAAGATGCAGCATGAATAGAAAGAGGATAAAGGAAGAAGGAAGTACTAAAAGGGTAGCTTATAGATTCAAACAATTTTCTTATATTTATTTCCTGTCAAGTTTATTTCATATAAAGTACTTAGGTGTGGTTATGTTTGGAGGCATCACTAGGCAACAATTCAAAAGGTCAGGAATATGTATGATTCACAGTATTTCAGTCCTGACAACTAGCATTTTCATTTTTTCCCCATTGTTTGGTTATGGAAAACAAATGTGAACAAATCAATAGCCATTTTGTATTAGGAAATTCAAACTTGAATTTGAACAACACGTAAGTTATTAAACGAATCTCTTCTATACCCTGAATATCGTCAGTTCTTTGGCCCCACTAAAGCAGAGCTTTGTGAGATGTTACTTTGTCTCCTTTTTCTCTGCAAGTCAACCCTTGTTATTGTAAGAAAGCAGACATGACCTGGAGATTTATTGCCTATTGTGACAGGTTTCTTTTAACTGATAATATATGATCTCTGTGAAAGAAAAAATGTGTGTGGAAAATACTAGGAGAAAAGAAATGTCTACTGCATATCATCAGCCTTTGCCAACACATTACTGAGCACGGCTCTTCCCTCCACAGTGAATATGTCTCTCTTGTTAAGCAGATTCTGATGGGAGGTCACTGTTTCACCACAAACAGTGTCACGCATCAACAATAAGGTCACCATATGAGGCTGCCTTATTTTCAGTACTGAGTATAAAGGATGTCTGGCATCCAAAAGCATGAATGATGATAATAATCAGGCAACCGGCCTCCCAATGCTGCTTTTTCAGAAGCAAGAAACAACTCAAACCTATTTCCTACCCTTAACATTCAAGTAGGGAAAAGGCTGGTGGTCACCTAGAGCCAAAGAAAGTAAACATAGTAAACCAAAGGACATTCCTTTGACATCTCTCACTTTGATTGTTCCTAGTGTGTAAAGTTTCCTTGAAATATAAAGACAGCCTGCCTTGTGGACACAGCAAATTCCAGGCTAGCCAGACCTACATAATGAGACCCTGTCTCAAGATTAAAAATAAATAAATAAATAAATTTCAACATAGAGTTCCTCTAAATCAAAGACATCATTAGTAAACACATTAATAATCAAAACACATGTGGCCACATACTAATTCAGCATATATAGTTTTTAAAAAAAAATCAAACTTTTTGTTAGTTCAAATGAAGCAGATGATATGAATGACATTTGACTAGAAACTGAATGTCTAGAAAACAGAGTCACAAAACTCTTGCATTTGTGTACTTGCCACCCAAAACTACAAGATCATCCAAGTGGACACCTTCATTTGAAAGAGACAGGTTGTAGGAGCTGGGGAGATCAAACTCTGTAAAGTTTGATCCCCAGAGCTCAAATTTAAAAGGCAGGCAGAGTGGCATATGTTTTCATTGCATCATTGGGGAGACAGAGACAGGTTGATTTCTGGAGCTAAGTGGCCAGCCAGCCCGGTCTGTTTGGGGGTCAGTGAGGGATCCTGCCTAAAGCAACATCAACGAAGTAGACAGTGGTTGAGTAATAATAACCATGTTGACTCTGCCTCATGATACATGTTCACATGCCAAACATGCCTCTGTGTGTGTGTGTGTGTGTGTGTGTGTGTGTGTGTAATGCGTAAACTGAAGCTTTAACAGACGCTAAGGCTTTGTCTGCAATCCACTACCACTTCTCTCTCAGCTTTGCTTAATTGTTGAAACCTTTAAAAAAATCCAAAATACTTTTGGTTTTTCCAACCTCATCCAATAAGAAGTAGCTCTCTAAAACACTGGTATTATTGTAAATCAAGAAGGTAGAACTTCAGCAGTCATGAGCTCAGTATGTCAAATTCTTTTACAAGAAATAAGATAGGTAAGTGTATTGCACCTAAAAAAAGCTCTAAATTGATATGAATTCTTTCCAGGTTTCAGCTTTGGAACAAATAAGACAAATGCAGTAAAATATGTTCCCCATAAATTGTTTCTTCAAATATACAGTAGATAAGGTGAATTGCACATATTCAGGCCTGAAAGTCAAATAATCCTTTTCATTATATAGAGTTGAAGATGTAAGAACCCTGAAGATGGAGACAGAGTAAATAGGATTCTCTCTCCTGACTAAGCTCCACTCTGTGGCCATGCCATTTTGACATGTTTCCTGAAACAATACAGCTACACTGTCAAACATGACAGACCCTAGTCACATGTGATCAAATACATATAAACTAAGTAAACTACAAATAATTGTCCTTACTCACCCAAGACACATTTCAAATATTCAGTTGCCACATGTGGGTCTAGTAGCTACCATACTGATCACCATAGATATAGAACACTTACATCACAGACAGGTCCCCTGGACATTATTGCCCAATAAACCATTCTCTTATTCACCTTGAACTATCCCCACCACCCTTCAATTCCAGAATTAGACAACTAATTTTGTAATGGTCTTAGTGTCGACTTTGCCATGGCTTAGCAATGTAGCCCCTGGGTAAGTCAACCAGCTGAGCTGGTTTGCTCATGTTTTATATCATAGTCATTCCTTCTCCATCTGTCCCACAGATTATTCTGAAGCTCATGTAAAAATGTAACTATACAAATAGAAAGGACTATTGTTTCTGGAGGCCCTTCCCTTATAGTTAGTGTTGCAGTGACTGATGGTGGAAGGGAGCTTTAAAATGTTTGCTCTTAAATTCTGGGATAAGTGTCATAACCTCTGTATAACCCTGAAGTGAGTTAGGCTTATACTGTATATATCAAGTCATCATAAAGTAAGAGAGTCCACTGTGT